TTGGGAGCCTGCCGTGAAACTCACTCTTGTAGACCAGTCTGGTCTCGAACTCACAGAGTTCGACCTGCCTCTGCCTCCTGAGTGCTGAGATTGAAGGCATGTGCCTCCATACCCAAACTGATACATTTTATTTTTAAATTACATGTGTGTATGTGTGTCTGTGAGTGGGTATGTTCATGTGAGTGCAGGTGCCTACAGATTCCAAAAGGGAGCATCAGAGTCTGTGTATCTGGAGTTGCAGGCAGTTGTAAGCTAAGAGATGCCAGCTCTGGGAAGCAAACAAGGATCCCTGCAAGAACAGGATGCTCTCTCGACTATTGACACATCTCTTTAGTCCCTGAAGTTACACTTTTTAAGTAAGGCTTATGTATTTATGCACCAGTTTATTTTTGTTTGTTTTTTGTTAGCTGTTTGGTGAGACTTGTCTGATGCTCTTGTTACCTTTTTTGCTTCTATGGATTGGCTTAGCCTTTGGAATTCAGATACAAACTGCCAAAGTAAATTCATGAAAGGAATTCAAAGGCAAGATACAGGAGCCCCGCCCACTCCTGGCTGCAGTCACTCTTCCAGGGGACTCTGCAATGCATTGTTGTTATATCCATCTTTTCAGTTGTGTGATATCCATACACCTGTTCCTGTGATGGCATGAGTGCTGATGACTGCCCCTGGATGGGAACGAGTTTCACACCACTTAGTAAACCCACCTTAACATCCTAAGGGGCGTGTACATTGTTTTCATGCTTGAATTATTTACCAAACCAAGTGGAACATCTTACTAGTGTCCTCACATGTTAACTCAGTGAAGTAAAATCTTTTGTACATTTTCAAGAAAGAAAGAAAGAAAAAAGAAGTATATCATGACAGTCTTTTGAAAATACTCAGAAAAACAAAAAATCAGAGGCAGGGCCTGAAAGGAGATGTTTGGATTTGCTTTTTATAGGGCTAGAGAGGTGGGGCTCACTGCTCTTTTCATAAATCAATCATGTAAAGTCAAAACAAAAGTTATTTATTAGAAACTGAATTTTAAGAGAAAAAGTATTTTATGCCACTTTTTCCCCTGTATATCCAAACCTGTATACAGATTGGTTCTCTCAGCCTTTTCACACATGTTTGTGTTTTGGTTGGCTGGCTCTCTGTTTAGATTTTTATATAGCAGTGTTTCTCAACTTCTGGTCAAACAAACCTTTCACAAGGGTCATCTAAGACCTTCAGAAAACACAAATACTTTCATTACCATTCATAACAGTAGCAAAATTAGTTAAGAAGTAGTAGCAAAAACAACCTTATGGGCCGGGCGTTGGTGGTGCATGCCTTTAATCCCAGCACTCTGGAGGCAGAGGCAGGCGGATCTCTGTGAGTTCGAGGCCAGCCTGGTCTCCAGAGTAAGTGCCAAGATAGGCTCCAAAGCTACACAGAGAAACCCTGTCTCGAAAAACCAAAAAAAAAAAAAAAAACTTTATGGTTAGAGGTCACCACAACATGAGGAACTGTATGAAAGGTTTGTAGCATTAGCAAGGTTGGAACCCACTGTTTACAGTATTGCAAGAAATGATAAATATGCACCATCCTCATAAAGAAAATGTAAGAGTGAAATATCCTCTACCCAGACTGGCTTGTAGCATTACTCAGTGTGAATTCAGTGTCAACAAGTCAATGATACATTAAATGAGGGTCATCAAAGAGAAAGATACATAAAGCAATGTTATATGTTGTTTATTTCTACTTTTTGTTTTACAAAGATGTGACCAAAGGCTTATTGGGACCTAATCCAGTATTTCCTCTAAGAATAATTGCTCAATTTTCTCAAATGTGACTTTATGGAGTACTATGGATAATTAATTAATAGAATGCATACCCATTACCACACACACACACACACTTGCACACACTCATTTAAACCCAGCTACTCAGGTATCCCAACAAACTTTGAATGTTGATTGATTGCGGTTTGAAGCTTTAGAGCACAAAGCTTCACAATTTAGAGTCAATTGGTTAATGGAGATTGCCTAACCCTCATTTTGAATTTCTGGTAAAGGAACAGTTTTAACAAGGGATTTAATAATTTTCTTGGAATTAAATAGACACCAAATCCTATCATGAACCCTGGGTTTCTTCTTCCTATTTGCTGCTGTCATCTATGCTGCCAACTCCATTTCCATCAGTTTACCTAACTGGATTTCAATTTAGCAAGCAGCTGCTTCCATTATACCTTGAACTGGGAAATTATGCCACTAACATGAAATATAAAGAACAGTCTTTCATAGTACACTGAGTGTAGGGCTTATGCTTCTAGAGGAAGAGTTACCAATTCAGCATCCATAACCAAAGACTACTAACCTAAGGTGCAGAAAGCACAGTTCAGCATCCCTTCTAAACATTACTGCAGGATTGTCTATAGCCATCAGATTTGAGACATAGCCTTATGCATCTTCTATTTTTAAGATAGACATTTGGTAGACCTTGATTTGTCTATCCATCCATTCATTCATTCATTCAATAGTCATTGATTATCATCCATGTGCACTTAGTAAGACAGTGATAAGACTGCTTTCCTACCATCAAAGATCATTTAGTCTAGAATATGAGAAAGAAATAAACATAAACACTTTCAAATAGGGATAGAAATATGAACTAGAGAAAACAAAGTAGCATGGTAGAAAGTAGCCAGGCTTGGGAAGAGAGTGTACTATCTTAAATGCATGGGCCAGAGGCAACAGACGTCCTAAATGAAGACTTGGACCCATACCATATCCAGAGTTGTACCACAAAGACTTCTTACACATGTAACACATACATTGCTGTGCTCTCCCCATCTCCTTGATTATATCCATGTGTATTAATGAATGACAACAGAAATTAACTTACCCCCAAACTGCTGTTATCTTCTATGGAAAATAGTAAATTAATACATGAATAGAAATAGGAAATATGTTACCCCCACCATAAAATTGGGCAAAAATCTCCCAGTGTTGTATTTATTCACATTCATGAATTCATTGTCATAACGGCTTCTGGGAAGATGATACTAATTAAACAAGTCCTTGAAGGAGGGGATAGAAAACATCTCTAAGAAGAAGACTGAGAAATATGTGAATATAGGAAGCAATAGTGTATTGTACATAAAACTGAACTGAAGTCTTGGCTTTGAGTTCAAAGATCAGGTAGGTAGTCTGGAAATATCTCAGATACATGCCTTAGCATATCAGGCTAAGAATCTAGTGTTTCATGTTCTCATGCACATTCTTGAGAGGAAATAATGCAATCAAAGTGGCACTTCTGCATTGATGCTTAACGAAAAATTGAAGAAATTAAGAAACTAGGAGACCTTCCTAGGTCTGTTCAGAAGTCTGGAGAGAACTAAGCATTAGAGGAGAAATGAGAATAGAAAGAATGAAGGAGGAAACTAACATCTCATATTTAGGCTAAGAAACTTGGCTAATTTGGTTCATGTTTGATAAAGACGTTTAGGAGAGCTGAGGTGGACTTTGGTGTCTGGCTCAAACAGAGCTTAGAAATGGAAAAAGACAAAGAGAAGCATTGGCAGGCCACCTGGAGATGTTAGAATATGTATGTAAAGATGAATAATAACTTGATATACAGATATGGAGTGCTAGGGAGTAGGGGATGGCCTTGGACACACTCTAATGAATGTATAGTGAAGCCAGTGACTGGAATGTAAATAGTGAATGGCAGAATTAGGGAGATGAGGTTAGAGAACGGAGTAAGGAGAATGTAAAGACTGAGAGACCCTAAGTAGGAGCCACAATTTTGCCTTCAGAAAAACACTAAGTTAGGTTTGGAAACATGATAATTGGATATGTAGTATGGAGAATGAGTTACAGAAAAATCAGGAGCAAAAGGGGTTACTCCCCTATTTTCTCTAGAAGACAACGGTAGTTTGGGGATAAGTTAATTTCTGTTGTCACTCATTAATACACATGGATATAGTCAAGGAGATGGTAAGAGCACAGCAATGTATGTGTTACATGTGTAAGAAGTCTTTGTGGTACAACTCTGGATATGGTATGGGTCCAAGTCTTC